ATGGTTCCTGTAAATAAAAAAAAGCCCAACTGGACCTCGCTCACAAAATGTCTTCCAAACATGCACCTTATATGGATGTTTGACCATTGGACGTTGTGGATAAGTTTTACCGTCCTTATATCATACTAATTGAACATTGCGAAATATCTGAAATGTATTTTCATCCGAAAATATAGTGTGTAACCAGTTGTCTTGTGTATGATCAAGGGCCCATTGAATATGGGTTTCAATATGAATTGGTTTAAGAAGAGGAATGGTTTTTGATCGGCAAACTTTATATTTGAGGGTTTTGATTAATATGCGTTGTACAGTATAAAGGGATATATTAAGATTGGAGTATGTGTTATTAAGTTTGATAGTTATAAAAGCTGTGGTGGCTGCATTGTTATTTTGCACAAGGTGACCAAGGTAATGATGTTTTTGTGGGATAAGAAGAAAGAGATGACCAGGAATAGGAAGGAGGTTAACATTATCTCTTTCTTTTAGCCGATTGATAATATTATATACAGTAGATTTAGGATAGCCAATTATACGAATCACTTCAGATGGTTTTCGTATATTATTATCCCAAAGCTCCTTTATGATCAAACGTTGAATCGAAAAGCATGAATCGGCTGACATTATATGGATGGGGATAGTTGTTTGAGTATCAATCAGGCAATGTCATGTTTATGTTGTATTCAAAACAAACTGAAGATCATTCAGTTTAAATATTAGCTAAATTGGGCACGAATTAGTGTAATAGCAGCATTTTTTGTATACGTCACAAAAATTCCAAATTTTTGTGGCGTGAACTGTAATGTAGCCTTTGAGTTCAGTGGTTTTGTAGAGATGGTTTGAGATATTTTTGTTGATTATTATAGAGACCCCTGCTTGGCTTTGATTAAGATTGCTTGAATGGATAATGAAGTTGTCAATGTTGTGGGAATTTTTTTGGAGAACTGAAGTTTAGTTTCTGATATATCTAAGATATTATAATTATTGTTTTTAATATATTGAAGAAGGCAGTTTAGTTTTGTGTTGTCATTAAGTCCTCTTGTATTAAGAGAACCAATTTCAAGTGAGTGTAATTTTGTATTGGATATGTAGTGTAATATTTCCGTAAGATTTTTTTTAATTGGAAAATCTTTTAATGGATTATTTGGATCTGTCATTATTTAAAGAAATTAAAAAATTTTGTTAATAGTTCAGGGAGTTCGATTTGAATAATATATTCATTGGGAAGTCTTTGAAAACTAAAGTGTTCTCTTAATTTGTGGATTTTTGAAGTGAAGTTAGCATCATTCATAATGGGAAATTCTATTTGGATATGATTATCCTCAAGAAATTTTTTGAGTTCTGGGAGATCAGGAAGAGGGGATTTGATGTGTATTTGAATCCATTCATCTGGGATTCTTGAAAAATTATAGAATTGATGGGCTTTGATAACATTTGAACGGATATCAATTTTCCTTGTGATTGGAAAATTGGTTCCTGCTTTCTCATTTACCTCTTGGTAATTAGTTGGAAGTGAAGGTTTGTTTGATATGTCTGTTTATTATTATTTGATTTATTTAACTTGTTTTGGATTGGGGGTAAGTTAATCCATTTCTTGAAGAGGAGACTAGTAAAAGTATATTTTTTTGCAAGTGTTTTAAGAAAAAGAGGTATGTTGTTAGGGTTTGTTACTGAAAGTAAAATATTGATATCGAGCAAAACTTTATCAGGAGAGGAAGGTAGTTTTGTCCTTATAAAGAAGTAGTCATTGGGAAGAAATTTAAAGTAGTAGGTTTTCCTAAGTAACATAATAATTTCCTGGAGAGTGTAGATACTGTCTCTGGAATTAAATGGAAATAAGTGTTTGTATTTGGGATCTAATAGTTGATAAGTTGTTGGAAGTGATTTTTTAGGAGGTGGGAGATTAAAATAAGTGATTAGTAATTTGGGAGGAACCTTGTATTCTTCTCTGAGATAATTTTTGTAGTTTGAGAGGTTGCTAAGCTCGCTCCTTTTTTTAATTGGAAAAATGTCTTTGTATTTAGTTAAGAGATCATTTGGATCTTTAGGGAGAGGAGGGTTTTCCTTAAAGTAAGAGTCGGGTAGTTTTTCAAATTTGTAGTGAGTGCCAAGGACATATAAGATTGTTATTATTTGTGTTTTGTCTGGCATTGGGAGCTTGATAGGAAGTTTGACTTTGATTTGGGAGGGATTTCAGATGGTTCAGATGGTAGAGCAGAGAGGGCATCAATGAAGTATTTTTTAAGTTCGTCTCTAAGGAAAGTATATTTAATAAAATGGTTTGTTTTTTAATAAGATAGTTGATTAGATAGGTAAGGAGACTGGCAAGTTCATAATAGAGGGTATTTTTTATGTCGATTGTACATAAGTAAATAATTGATAGAATGGTACAAATAATGATACGGATTTTTCTTTTAATTTCAAAATTGATGAAATTTAGGTTGTTTTTATTTTTATATTTGTTTGAAAGTCTTTTTCTATTTCGCTGAATTCTTTTTGATGCACTGGCATCAGATTTTTATTTTGGGTAAAAGAACTGAAAAATGTATGGTCCTTGAAACTGATTTTGTTCATGATTGCTTTGAGGTGATAGGATGGATATTTAGGAAGTTTGATAATAGTGTCGAGTGTTTTAATGATGGTTTAAATATTGCTTAGGGCTGGGAGAAGATCATTAACTAGTTTTTCAGTGTCTGCTCTAAGGGTTTTATACTGTTTGATATCTCTAATCTCTTGGAGTTCTTCTTGGACTTGTTGTTCAAAGGAGGATGATTAGGTATGAAATCAAAATCTAATTATCATCCAATTATAAAATATTTATAAATAAAAATTTTATTATTTTGATATTATTAATATATTTATCAATAATAGCAATAGTAGTTGTGTTATCATTTCTTTTATTAATTCAATAATCTTTTCCTTCTGAAATCAAAATCTAATTATTTAATTATAAAAAATATTTTCAATAATAATAAAAATTTTTATTATTTGGAAATTATCAATAGTAATTATAATATATTTATTATTATTAATTATAATAAAATTATTCTTATTTGAAAGATTAAGTTTCTTGATCACTAAAAATAAGTTTTTTCATTTATAAGAATAGCACATAATATATTAAATTTTACAGTATTGATCTTTCTATTCTTAAGTATAATATTTGCTAATTGAAGTAAAAAATTAAAAGTGATCAAAGTAATCTTTTTATAAGTTACTTTTTAAATAAGATTTATCAAATTTCTAATAATCTTAATTATATCTTCTACTATTTCTATAAGCATATTTTTTAAAAAAAAAGAAATTGAAATTAATTTTATTTGAATTTTTTAATTAAATAAATATCCTCAAAGTATTATATTTTTTATTATTAAATTATTCTTTAATTATCTTACATGTTATTCCTTAATTATAAATATAATTAATTATAGATTAAAAGATATTTTTAAATTATAATATTATATCAATACAAATGTTATATTCCAATTTGTCACAAAAATACTTATGTAATTCACAAGATATTTGGCTAAAAAAATAATATAAAATATGAAAAAAATGTTATTCTTAAATCATTAAAAGTAGAATTATTTTTTTTTTTTCAAGTAAAGAGTGCATATAGCATATGATCTTTATTGAATGATTTATATCCAATTATATAACTACAAGATCCATTTAAGTTAACCCACACTTCCACCTATAACCTTATCCAGTTATACCGATTTATCCACCACAGGAGTGGATCCGTATACCGGATGGGATCTTTAGGGGATAGAAATCCTATCATTAGTTTTAAACTATCTAATCTAATTTAGATCCTGACAGTTGTCATTTAGAGCATGTACCTTTTCAGGGTTGATTAGAATATCCAGATAATCCATTTAATACTTTTCATCTGGTTTCTCAAAGAAGATATTGTATTTCTTATTACCACCTGTGGTTTTCAACTTTCCTTGTAGGAATTGTCTTTTTTTAAGCAAGTACTGGATTGGAATAGCTTCAAGCTAGAATATTTTTTATGCTACAGAATCTGCCATGCCAGGGGGTTTGTAGGCTTTTATTGAAGTTAGACCAGAAGCCTTTCCTTATGCAACCTTCTTTGTTTCAACCTGTTTTCAGCCCGCGATTGTCAGGAAGACTTGAGATCCCATTTTCATGCAGCCTAACTAAATTTGATCAGAATCTGGATATTTGAAGTACAACATTTGTAGGAAAACTGGTAAACCCACAAATGAAGAATAAATTTTATACATTTTGCCCTCTATGGATATTGAACTAGGGACATATATTTGAAGATCAAGAAGTATTACCCACTGTGCTATTGACCCACTGATCTATTAAAAGTAGGATTTTGATCAATACTATTTGATATAGTATTTTATAAAACTAATATCAAAATTTTTTGATACAATACTTTAAAATAAACTATATGATTGTGTTTTATTTTTTTGTGCTTTTGTAGCTAATCAATCCTAATTTTTGATATATAGTATTTTACAAATTTAATATATTATTGTATATTAATAATTATAAAAAATATATTTGATTATTTAAAAATAAAATACTGTATTATTATTATGATTTTAAGTTGAATACTTTGGAATAAAAATTGAAGTTTAATAAAAAAACTCATATTTCTCGAAAAATATAATTTTTTTAATTATATTGTACATAATGTTTATATAATGCTTATCGTTAATAAAAAAAATCAGTAATTTAAGGCTATATACTGTATAACGTGATTTTTTTTACATTGTAACTAAATTGATATATTTTAATAATTTAAAATTAGACTTATTATTTTAGTAAAAGCTTATTTCCGGGTGAAATATAAAAAAAAAATAAAGAAAATAACTAGATGCAAAATTAAAAATACAAAATTATTGCACAAAACTACCCGTCTGTCCTGTTTAATCAAAAGCATTTCTGTAATTATTAAGTGATTATTACTATATCGTACAATATTTCAAATAAAACATAATTAATTATTTATTTGATGCAATTTTTCATGAGACAATTTCTAAGATTTTGATGATGCCATCTCTAAGCGCCCAAGCGGAAAAGTTGTACTAAATAAAGCAAAGAAACAAATGTATTATATCTTAATTCCGTTTTGTCGGTGAAGACTTAACGGCAATTTCATTGATAAGACATCTTCGTTGAAATTTATTTTTTTGTTTATAAAATAAACTTTGAACAAAGTGATGAAGGTCCATGATACGTCGCTGATGATAAAGACAAATGTTAAAATTGGTACAATAAAAATGCTTTGATGAAAATTATTATTACCTTAAAAGTAAACATTACTTCTATAATATTTAAAAGTTCTGCCAATTGACCAGAATTATCAGGAATTGTAAATCCTTCAAATTGATCTACTAGATACAAGTCGTCAACATAATGCATTGAAT